AAGCGTCAAAGGTCAGAGGGGACGAGAGTCAAAGTCATAGCCCCCCCCCCCGAGTCCTCCTACGCCGCTCGTTCGCCTCAAGAAAAAAGTGGGTGCAGAGAGGGGGGGGTTGTCTCTTGTGGCCACGCCAGCCGCCCTCCCCCACAGGGGCTAGGCTCTCCCAGGCCCTTCGGAGACTTCCAAGGAAAAGGGCTACCCCACAACTTTTCAGGGTCTGCCCCACTGCCCACAACAGAAGCCGCTAGGGAGGCACATGCCTTCATGAGAGCCCCCCCCCCCCGCGAGTGAACTCCAGAAGAGAACAAACAAGGCCCTGTTGTATTTTTAGTGGCTGCTGCTGCTGCCGGACCCATTTCCTTCATGTCCCTTTCAGAGCAAACAAGAAGAAAAAATCGTTCACTTGGAAGTCCGAAGCAAGCACATCAGGTGGGCACTGAAAAGCCAGCACTGAATGATGGCTGCTGGCTTCCAGAACCTGGAAACAGCTTTCCATCCCTGCTTTGGGCATGGAGACAAAGGGGAGGGGAGCCAGCCAGCAGGGAGCCCTGTGCCTAGCAGGGCCCCACGGACAAGCCTCCCCCGAGCCAGAAAACTTTGGTGGGGGGGGGGGGCGGCAGGGAACTTAAATTGATTAGAGGTAATTAGATTAGTTTCTGATCTAATTAGCTGTGATCTAAGTCCTGGGGAGTTGTTCTGAGTGCTGCAAAGGACTGCGGCCGTCCGTCAGAGTTCTTCCTGAGCAGGAGAAGCTGGACCCATCCCTGCCCTGAACATGATTTGTACCTTACAGGATTCACCACCACCACCACCACCACCGTTCTTGGGGCAAACGCACTCTGGAGCGGGTGATTTCTGTTGGCACAGGTGGGAAAAGGTCGCCCTGAGCCTTTTTTAGCAGGGAGGGTATAAATCAAATAAACAAATACATTTGGAACCAGTTTAAAGGGCTTCCTGTTTGAGGAGGACGGAAAAACAATATCAAACAACCCAGAAGCCAGAGGAGAGGGAAAGAAACATGGATGCGGGGTGGGTGGGAGAGACTAATAAGAGCTCTCGGCCACTGAACAATACTCTGCTGAGCTGGGCTACCTGGATTCGAGAGGAGCCACAGCCCCCCCCCCCCGAGATCTCTGCTGAGCTCTCGGCCACTGAACAATACTCTGCTGAGCTGGGCTACCTGGATTCGAGAGGAGCCGTCTAGCCCCGCCCCGCCCCGCCCCGCCCGGCTCTTTCCTTGCCATGGAACTTCTTCTGCCATCCTCCAGTTCTGACATGTTTATTACCTATGTTGTTCCCCCCCCAGTTGAACCCAAACAGATGATCACCAGAAACCCACCTTGTCACTCTTTTGATCCATTAAAACAAAATTCACTATTTTGCATGCTAATTTAACAAGAATATACAACTATGATACGTAATTCCATTTCATTGTCTCACGGCGTGTGCATGCGCAGGAAAGCTCACACCTTGAATAAACCCGTTTGTACAGTGCAAACCTTTGGCCTGCATAGAAAAGCCCTCTGGAATAATCCAGCCGGAAAGCGAGAGCCATCCTGGGCATTCCAGGCAAACCGTTCCCCATGGGGGTGGCACAGTGGAGAAGGTACAGGTATGGGCAGTTGGTGGCTCTGCCCATTTGCAGGTTGGCACCTGCGGAAGGTCTTGCTTGGATGATTGAAGCTGTACTGGCGGAACATGAGACAGACAGCCCTATAGATAAGAGGGGGCTTTGTATGTGATACACCTTCCATTTCAAAGCACAGCTCACACGCTCACCATCTTTCAAAGCTGAAGCCACATCAAACAGAGGGAGCGAAGGAGACCCCTCGGTGAACTAAAGGAAGAACCCCAGGAGAGACAGCAGTCCTGGAAGCACGGCCCCTGTGGCCCCATGGATCCCAGCTTGTATCTGTTGTTACGGGGCTGCCCACGGTCTCAGGCGTCCGACCCCTGGGCCCACAGAGAGGACATCTTATCCCAGGCCTGGTGAGGGAAAAGAGTTCTCCGAGTATGAATGTGTTCACCTACCCCAGCCCACCAAGAATAGGAGCACTTCTTTCGTCTTCCTCTGTCCAGCGATCGCCTGCCCCCCCTGGGACAGGGCAAGACCCCTGCTCTGCACATCAAACGTCTCTGCACAGTGCAGAGAAAAACAAAGAGACTGCAACCCACATTCCATGCTCACTAGCAGCCGTCCAGTGGCAGGGCAACACGTCAAGATCAGATCACCAGCCAAGCAAGAACCAAACAAGACATTGTATGTAGGCGCACTGAAAGCATGCCAAGATCCTTGGGA